AAAGAACAGGGGCTCTGGAGCCATCCAGCCTGGGTGCAAATCCCAGCTCAGCCCTGTCCTAGTTGTGAGAATCAAATTTGTTTCCTTATGTGTAAAAGGTGGATAGTAACAGTACCTGCTTCATAGTGTTGCTAGGAGGATTATAATAGTTCATATATATACAGTACTTAGAACAAGCACCAAGTATTAGGACCACGTAAGTAGCGGATATTATTTTTCTTTACTGTTGAACTTCTTGGAAAAGATGTCTACATTCGCTCTCTCTACTTCTTACCCCCTCATTCATTCTTAACATTTTTTCCTGTCAAGATAGCATAAGTGGTTTTAAAAGCAAATTGGCCCAGAAGGGCTCAGTACGTAAAAGAACAATTTCCCACCCCATCCCTCACCACCTTCGTGAGCCACTCCCCAGGAGCAAACACTTTTTCTTGCTTTTGATTGTTTTCTTCTGGGATCTACCTTCATGTTTCCAAATAATAACTACGTATGACTATTTCATGGTTTATCAATTTTTGGCATTATTTATCAACTTTTGATTACAGCAGATAAAGATTTAATACCACGCCCACATCTTCTCCCTACCTTGCCCTCCCCTCCATCTTCTCTAAATGGAATTTAGCCAAGTGGTACATAATGATCATATTTCATTTTCTGAACAACTTGCTGACTTCCCCTCTGGAGTTAATAATCGCCCTCCTTTTGCTTTACTTAAATTCATGTCCCCATCACTGACTCTTCCCCAGCTGCACAGAAGAACCACACGAGCTCTCTGAATACTATTTCTTCAAATGAATAGATTTGAAGCTCCCTCAGTGCCACTGTCCCTGGGAGACTCACCCTCTGCCTTCTTGTCTCCCGCTCCTATCTGCTGCACTGCCGTTGGGTTGGGACCTTCCTTTCCTTCTCCCTTGGGGTTTCTGCTTCCTGTCTGTCTGTACTCCCTTTCTCTCTTCCCCACCCTTTTCTCTCTTGGTGTTTCCTTCCTTGTGGAGGCACTGTATCGTCCAGCAGTTTCTGACACATGAAAGCATGAATAAGACTTGCATGCCTGAAAGTATCCATATCCCACCCTCCCGCATGATAATTAGGCTGACTTTCGGCCTTGAAAATAGCTGTCCTCAGGATTTGGAGGTTTCCTTTTTCAAATGGCCAGTGATCCTTATTAGCTTCAAAAGCCAGTTGGAAGCTCTAAGCATGAGTGGAGCTTTGTACGGCAGGCTTCCCTAAAATTAGATGGCCTGGGACCTGACCAGTTCGTGGAGGAGCCCTCCATATGAGTATCTCCGAGTCTTTTGATGAGGGGTCCTTCCATTGTTCCAGAGAGAAGCCTTCCAGTCACCTGGCTCCAGGGCCTTGGGATCTCTCCCAGTACACTCTCTGTCTCTGGAGAACAAACCTCCCAACTCCTGCCAGGATAAGGATGGGGAATCACCTGGCTGCCAAGAACAGGAGAAGGTGCCCAGGAGTCTACCTTTCCACTGATCCCTATTTTTTGCCTCATACCTCAAGTCTGTGCGTCTCCGTGCATCTCCCGGAGCACATGGGGCCTCTAAGTCCTGAGCCTTTTGGGATTCTGTGGCACGAAGGGGCTTGTTTCTTAGTATCACCCTTGTAGGTATTTGCTATGCAATTTTCTCAGCCCTGCTCACTTCTCCATTCATTTTCCAGCTTCCAAAACTGTGATGAGATCTCTCATTTGCTGGTCTCTCCCATTCTCTTTGTCTTTAGGCTTATACCATTTTTACTCCTTTATTCTCATTTTGGTGACGTTTGGGAAGAAAAGCAGAAATAAAAGAACATGTTCAATTTGCCATCTTTAACCAGAAGTCTTCTCCTGTCCTCATTAATTACTTAACAAAGTGCAATCCAGCTTTGCCCCTGTGACTACACTGAAACAATACTCAAGGTCACCAATGGCCTGGGTGGCAAACCCAGGGACGCCCTTCTGCCCTTGTGTACTTGCCCTCTCACCGAAACTGCCATGAAATCTCGTGATGCTGTCCTCTGGATTTCCTCCTACCCCTCAAGCCCATCTCCTCTCTCCTCATTTTTCTTCAGAGGCATATTTCCTCTGTTCACTCCTTTAATGTCCCGGGTCCTCTTTTATCCTTTGTCTGCCCGCCAACCCCGGTGATGCATTCTTCCCCAGACCTTTTCTTCCATTCCTACGCTGGTGACTCCCAAACCATTGCCATCAGTCTAGACCTTTGAACTTATTTCTTCAACCGCTTTCTGGATATAACCTCTAGATGTTGCCCAAAAGCCTGAAACACAGCAGAGTCAAATTCTCAGCCTCAATCTTCATACTCTGTAGTCCTTGCCCAGATCTGTTTTCCCACCTGGGTTCTTAATCTCATTTGATGGCATCACTATCTAGATGTTGCTCAAGCTAAATGACTAAGAAATCTTTTTATATATTAATAAATATGCAATACTGATTTATATAAGTGTATAAATGTACATATAAACATTTATATGTACATTTATATACATATGTGTGTGTGTGTATATATATATATACACACACACACATACACTTTATGGAAAATTCCAAGCATACCTAAAAAAATAGAACAGATGTCCTCAACACCTAACTCCCATAATTATCAATATATGGCCAATCTTGTTTCACCAATGATCCTCACTTCTTCCTCTTCCCAGAGTCTTTTGATGGCATCCCTAGGCACCAAGTAATTTCATCAGGAGAGACTGTGTATGTATCTCTAAAAGATAAGAGACTGCGGGGCGCCTGGGTGCCTTAGCCGGTTAAGCATCCAACCTCATCTCAGGTCATGATCTCACCACTCATGGGTTCAAGCCCCGCATTGGGTTCTGTGCTGACAGGTTGGAGCCTGGAGCCTGTTTCAGATTCTGTGTGTCCCTCTATCTCTGCCCCCCCCCCCAACCCCTGCTCGCTCTCTCTCTCTCTCTCTCTCTCTTTCTCAAAAATAAACATTAAAAAAATTTTTTTTAAAGAGACTGCTCTCCTTCACCCTTCCCTACCATCAGTTGGTGAGAGCTTATCTTGAAGGCTCCTCACACAGATTTCAAGGTCAAGTCCAAACTCCTTACCGTGGCACATGGAGTTCTAGCTGGTCCTGCCCCCAGACCCCTGCTCCAGCCACACATGGCTCGTGGCCCCCTGAAGCTCTGTTGCCTCTGCACCTGTTGCCCCTGCTGCCCGGATGTCCTTCTCCTCCCCTCTTCCCCTGGCCAGCTACCTGCTGAAAGGCCAGTCCTGGCTTCTCTGAGAGCCCTCCTGTCTTCCCTGGACACCTGTGTCATCTCCACTGCAGACGGGGCACCTTCCCCCTACCAGACTGTGAGCTCCAGAGGGCAGGAATCCTGTCTAACTCTGAATCCTCAGAACTTAATACAGTGCCTGGAATGAGGTGGGTCTCGCGTTCGCAGAATGAAAGAGTGAATCAATTAAGAGACATGTCCCAGAAATAAGCGAAACGGTACACTGCAGTGGAATGGACAGGGGAAGACCGGGGCAGAAGCAAGGGGTACGGCCGGGCTGACCATGCCACAGCTTCACGTGTGGGAGCCTAGGGAACGGCAATGGCTCTGACAGAAACAGAGGAAACCTGGAAAGCAAGCTGGCTTTTGAGGGTGACAATGAAATGTTAAATTTTGTGTACGTGAAATGCAGCGTGCTGGCAAATACCCAACAGCACATGTGACCTGGGATAGGAAGATGAAGGGAAATACTGGCAGCATAGTTGGAGGAGAGCATTAACACGGCAGAGAAAGGGCTTACAGAGAGTAAATGACACGTTCGAGAACATCATGGAACAGAATGGAATCCAGAAAGAGCCCCATGAGGGCCCGTCTGCATTCAGATGTATACACGGTGGCATGCTACCTGCCTTTCTTACTGGTGTGTTAGAGACATAGGTGGCCGTGCGTGTGTGGACACTAGAATTAAGGCAGCTAATACCTTAAATGAGTGGATACTTAGAATAGTGCCTGGCACATAAAAAGCATTCAAGTCATAGTTGATGATGATCATATTATTATTATTGTTTGGCCTTTGGTAAGTTGGGGTCTTTTTCATGCCTCTCCCTGTGGCCAGAGGGCTTTCTTTGTTCACAGCCTTGCGGAAGCCATGACGATCTCTGTCCTCCCCCTGGTAAGGGATCACAATAAAAGATTTCGATCCAGGAATCGTTTGTGGAGAGCTGGTAGTCAAAGTCACGAAAACTGCTGCACAGTTCGAGAAACCAGAGGGAGGAGAGAGAACTGTGGGATGAGTCTAAAGAGGCACTCATGGTCTGGGAGTAGTGACAGAGCGAACAAAGGACACGAGGACCTCGGGCAGAGAAGCTGGAAGAGGGCTCTGGAGCAGAGGAGGTCCCGGAAGCTGGACAGGAGGGAGGCTGCTGCCAGGGCCCCATTCGTAGGGTCAGAGCAGCAGGCCGGTGGAGAAGGATGAAGTCGGAACCAGCCCCCTGGGCCTGGCCGGGAAAGGGGCGCTGTGAGCAAGGAACCGAGTCTTCAGTGGCAGAGAGCGCAGGTGATAAAAGTGAGCCATGGCTTTAGTTAATTCACTTGAAAGGGTTACAGATTAAAGGACAGCAGGGACTTTGTTTTGTTTCCTAATAGGTGAACGGAGGACACTTGAAGGCAAAAGGAAGAGTTGGTGGAGAGGGAAAGACTGGGTCGGACAGGTAAGGTGTGGAGCAGGGAAGGAACAGGACTCATCCTGTAGGCAGAGGTGAGCCCGTTATACTCAGACTGTAAATAGGGTAAGATAAGCGCAAGGGGTTTCAGGAAATTTCTGTAAATACAGAGTCTCTTGTGTTTTAGACACTCCTCCCAAACGCCACTGTCCCTCCCACCCTCTGGTGGAGATTTCAGACCCAGAGTCAGATGTAAAGGAACGAAGGGCCTCCAATCCCTTTTCGTCCATAACCTCTGTCTCGCTCTCGTGCTGCCCAATATGACAGCCACTAGCCACTTGTGATTAAATTTAAATATAATAAAATTAAAACTCAGCTCCTCACACAAGCCACATTTAAGTGTTGAATAGCCTCAAATGGCCAGTGGCCACTGAATTGAGCAGCACAGATAGAGAACATTTCTATCATTGTGGAAGGTTCTAGAGTCTTCGTGGTATTTTGCCTCTTCTCCCATCTCAGCAATGTTCAGCTCCCTCCACCTTATAAAAGGTCCATTTTGAGCCCTCAGACACCGACTATCCCAGGTCTTGGGGGGAAAAGACTACAGGTTGGCTATGGGAGCAGGTCTCTAGACTGTCTAGGACTGAGTTGCCCTGATCTTTTGTTAATTAGAGTCCCTTCAACCTCCAAGCATCCCCACAAGCTTGCACTTTCTGTCCTGTCTGCTCGGGGGGCAAATGGAGTCACGACAGAGGGGAAGACACCTTTTCTGACTGCAGAAGTTCACAGCAGTCCTGCCTGCTGCCCTCAACACTAGCAAAACTCTGGGTCTGTGCCTCCCTTTGCTTCATCCTCTTCCCACCATTCGAGTCCCACTGTCCCCAGCCCAGGACAAGTTGTCCTTCTTTTTGTGTTGCCCAGTGACAGACAAGCGGTGGCCATGCACCTCTGTACGTAGGGAGGTTTGCCACACAGGCTGGGGCGATGTCCCCCGGTCAGACAGGAGGAAGCAGAGGATGACGAGACTGGAAAGGCCCCAACCCTCTTCTAAGTCAACTTCTATGGGACAGGTGCGGTTATGGGTTACTTTGTCACTTAAAGGACAAGGGGCTTGGGAGAGGGAGCCGTGGGGGGAGGTACAAAAGGCACACTATCTCCAAGACTCATGAGGGCAGAGCCCGGGGCCCTTCATTCCCAGGAATGTTCCTGCACTTCTCTGCCTTGGCTGATGCCCTTTCCAAGATAGCATTCCTTTTACGGAAAACACAATGAACGGGGCCCGTGGATCTTCTTCCACGTAGAGGGAAGCTGGGCGAGTGCTGGACGTGGTTAGGGAGAGAGACGGCGGAACCCCTGTCAGGGAAACCTCCGCCCCAAGAGGCCGCCCCTGCCTGTCCCTTCTTTGGCTACTCTTCCTCTTGCTATTACTCTGGTCTGATCACTTTCTAGGATCAAACCGGAAGAAGTGAGGACGGAGTTCTAATTTGCACACAGAGCGTGGCATGCTTCAGTCTTCACACAAAAACAGCAAATAACCCTGCCTGTCAAAATTCTTCAAGGGACCGCCCCCCCCCCCCCCCCCCCCCCCCCCCCCCCCGCCAGTGCTCACATGGGGCCTCAGGGCAATCTTCCCCGCAGATGCACAAGCACCCCCATCCGGCTTCCCTCGTCTCTGGGCACGGGGTCAACCTCGGTGCTCCTCACAAACCACATCTCCGATTTGCAGACCCTCAGAAAATCCCACTGACCCCAGGTGTGAGGGACGGGTGGCTGCACCCCAGGGTGACATCTGCGTCCTCCCATCCCACTCCCGACACACCCCATCCAACTATCTGTGTATTAGACAAGCTGGATAATCAAAGGAAGAAACTCATCTACTTCATCCAAAGGCCACTGGGCTGAAGAGAACTGCCTGGCAAGTTCCTGGCATGCAAGTCAAAGGAGCATCTTCCAACTCCTGCCTTGTCTGCCCAAGTCCCAGCGGCGCCCCTCCCCCAGCTATTCTGACCGGTTGCTCAGCAGTTCGTCTCCACTACGAGTGACTCAGGAGAAAGGTCTTATTTAAGCAGCCAGGGGGCCAGCCAAGTCAGAAGCAGCAACATGTCCTAAAATGGTCAAAGAAAACGCCACAGGTCTGGCTGCAGCTCAGCTCCTAAAGGAAGGGGCTAGAATCGGGCAGGGATGAGGAGTTTGACTTCCCCCGTTACCCCGCCCCAAACCTCAATCCCCAGATTAACCCCCTTTCTGCTGACTACTTACCATTCCATAGGACCTCCAGTGTGCGGGGGGCCAGCGGGATAGCCTTGTTCTCTTTTAACACAGGGCTGACATAGGAAGCTAAGTAAGGGACCGAGGTCCAGATCTATTAAAGGAAAGGGGGTGGTGGTGAATGAACAAGACCGACCACACACGCACGCACACACACATCAACTTGATCCTTAGGGCCCCGCTCTTATTTTCCCTCTCCTCATCACCTTCTTTCACTCCCAAGGCTCCTGCTGACCCCTGGGAGTGCTCCCTATGGAACCAGAGGCCATGGCTGTGTCCAGGGTGGAAGATGAGAACCACAGCACCCTGAGAGCCCCCAGCTATACTCTCTACCAATAGTTTGGAAGCCTCAATGACAATGTTGAGCCTGCCTCTTCATTTGAAAAATGGGTCATCTAGGATAGATGAAACAAAGAACACTGAGTACCCACGATGCGCCAGGCAATGTTTTAGGCGTTTAGCCCCCTCCCTCGGTCGCTCCATGCAGGGGTCCCTGCCCTGCCAACACCCATTCACCTTGGCTGCATTAACGAGTCTCCAAGCATTGAGCAGGCCGAATCCATGCTGGTGGCTGTGGCTGAAGCCTGCCTCGTTGGTGACCCAATCTGCACGGCGATCCTCATACTGAGAGAAACAGAGATCCTGGTTAGTCTCTGGGACTTCCAAAGTGCAGCTGACCCTTGGGCAATTCAAGGGTTGGGGTACTGCCCCCTGCCCCCCAAAGTCGAAAATCCACATATAACTTTTGACTCCCTAAAACTTAAGTCCTAAGAGCCTACTATTGACTGGATGCTTTACCAACAACACAAACAGTTGGTTAGCACATTTCATATATGTATTATGTATTGTATTCGTACAGTAAAGTCAGCCGGAGAAGAGAAAATGTTATCAAGAAAACCACAAGGAGGAGAAAATACATTTACTGTGGATCCACACATTCAGACCCATGCTGTTCAAGGGTCAACTATAATGTCAACAACCTAATTCTGGTTTCCTTGCTCGCCCTGCTGGCTGACCCGGTCCAGACTCTCCCACCAGGGCTACTAGGAATGGATTCCCCAAGGAAGGCTGGGACAAAAGGTCAGAGCCCCATGATGTCACCACCTCCATAGCTTGCTTCTAGAGGGAGCCAGGAGTCACCGGCCCTGGAATAAGGGAGCACAGCCAGAGTGCTCCTGTGCAGGTGAAACAGCACAGGCAGAATAGGTACGGATGAGTTGAGGCCTAGGATCTTGATGGGGTCCCCACGCCTGTTCTAGACACAGGCAACTCTGAAAAGCACCGGGCACCTCACTTGTGGGACATTTAGAGTCTGAAGCCTCCTGATCCCTGCAAGTCCTTGGAAGCAGAACCCTGGGGAAGGCTGGGCCGGGCCATGGCTCCGGCTGCTAGGGTCTCACCTGGGTGGCTGTGAAGACAACGATGTGCTGGACGTCACGCCAGGTGAGACAGGGCCGTACCTGTAGCATCAGGGCTATCATGCCTGCTGCCAGAGGGGCTGCGGCCGAGGTCCCTGTGTGGCCCTCGGTGCAGCCTGTGCCCTTCTGAAGGTCCCAGTCAGTGGTCACCTGGGAAGTGGATTGGGGGGTGGGGGGGACTGGGTTAGACACGGAGTTCATAGGTGCTGTGGAGAGAGGGGTAGGGGACGGGGCCTCGGAGGAAGGCTCTCAGGTCGGCCCTGGCTTTGTGAGAGCTGAGTCTTTGACCAGAGGGAGGCCCACTAGCGGGTCAGGATAAAGGAAAATCCCTCATCACCCTAGGCCCCGCGGGACAAGCTCTGGAGAGCTGAGAAAAGAAGGCAGTTTACAGGGCTACTCGGGAGGGTCCGGCTGTGGGCAGAGAGGAGCCGGAGGTGTGGGAGAGGCCTTATGTGCAGCGGACGGTTTCCTGATTCCTGCTCCTCTAATAACTGTGTCCCGAATTCCCCAGCCTGGCCCTCCAACCCCCTCAACCAAGCTAGACAGAGGAAGTGGCCCGGGGGGATGGGGGGGGGGGCGGGCAGGCTCCTGGGCCCCAGCTGGAGCTGGGACAGCAGTGACGGCACCATTCAAGGAAATCCAACTTGGCAGCCCGGCGATAGGGGTTGGAGTGACATCAGTGCGAACAAAGGGAATGTGTTCCCAGGGAGAGGGAACTGTGCCCTCGCCCACCCTGTGAGCTCAGCAAGGGCTTAGTGTCTACACTGCCTGCCCGCCCTGCTGCTCTGGGCCTGGTGCCTCAGTATGGTTCCCATGAGTCCCCCCCCCCCCACTCTACCTGTGGTTCTCAGGGGGAGGTGACAGTGGGGGACGGGAAGGAGAGTTGCCTGGCGGGGAGAGATGGCATCCAGTTCTTTTCATGCTCCTATCAACCCTGGAACCACAACGGGTTTGCCTAAACCTGCTCCACTATGTGGCACTTTGGATGTGGCACATGGTGCTGATGTTAAGACTTGAGAGTTTTTTTTCTTCCAGGCTTCTCTCTGGGTCAGACACCAGGGAGGTAACTTCTGCCAAGAGCTACCCTTTCTCCATTGTACTCACTGCTTCCCTCCCAGCTGCTACAGCAGCTGCCAAGAGATGTGATTTTCACTCAGACACTGTGCGCTCCCAGGAGAAAAAGGAAAAAACCCTCCAAGCTGTGGTCTCAATGAGATGGGGAAGGCTGGTCTGTGCCAGGGAGCAGACTGATTTTTTTTCCCTGTTAAGGAAAAGGCGTCACCGGGACAGTCTCGTTGTAGCTGGGAGCGCTGTGAACGGGCCTAGGTTGGCGGGAGCCCTGGGAAGCCATAGGAAAGTCCAGGGACGCACCCCGGCCAGCCATAGGGTGGGCAGTGCATGCCCCGTGCTCTGTCCTCAGGAAGACCGCTCCTCTGAGCTGGTCACTGAACAGAAACTGGCAACGCGGGGTTTCCAAGGAAGGACATCCAAAAGCTGGGAACTTGGATAAGCAAACTCTCTTTTCACCTCTGGACAAATCACAGTTCGGATGGAAGGTGGGGGTGGGGGTAAGAAGTGGAGCTAAGTTAGGGAACGGCCAGAGCAGCAAAGCAAGAATGGCACCCATGCTGGTGACGCCTCCTTGGGAACGGGTTCCCCAGAGTTCCACCAGGGTTCCCTCTTCCTCTTCCTCCTCTCCCAGCCTGGCCTGGCCGGAGTGCCCTCTGAACCCAGACCCCTGCCTGCTGGGCAAAGGATCTCTTAGGTTTTCATTTCAACCCATTCCCTCCACCTTCCTCCCTGGGCGGGGGTGGGAAGCTGAGGTCCCCTGGCACAGGGCCTTGGAACCATGTGTTGACCAGAAGTCACTTACTGGCAAAACAAAATTTCAGTTTTGGAAAACGAACCTGACCCAGCAGGAAGACAAAGCAGCCCAATTCCCAGTGGCCCCAGAGAGACCTCTGTACCTGGGCCGCTGGAGAAATGTGATACCCCCGGGCTCCAGCCCAGCTCTTCCCCATCCCCATACGGCTCTATTCTGGGCAGCGGGGACAGGCAGAGAGCTGTAGGGTCACAATCCAGAGAGCTGACCCCAACCTGCTGGGATGGAGCTAAGCCAGTGGGAAGCAGGCATCAGACTCTGAATTCTTTAAAAGCTTCCCATAGCCTGAGAATCTCCACTGCCCGGCTCCAATCTCTTGTGTGATACGGCTCCAATCCTAGCTCTAAGGAAAGAACTGTTTCTTGGGCTGACTGAGACGTTGCCCGGCCTCGTTTTCCTGCTCATCCCGTCAAGACAACTGCTAGCTTTACTCCTGATGAGGAATGTGACCAGAACTCACAGTATTTACACAAGGGCTGAAGAGTAATGGAACGAAGGGTTTTTTCCTAAGCCCAGAGAAATTAGCCAAAGCCCAAATTCTACCAAAGGAAGACACCGCACATGAGTTCTTTAATCAGTGTGATGCTTAGTCGTTCCTATAACAAAATATATATTCGTAAGTTAAACTTTTAAAGATAAAGGCCATTTACAGATCTGTTTAGAGTCTTCGGCTCTGATTTTTCCGACAGTGGCATGCCCTCTGAGATCTGTATCTGCTAAGAGGAGGAACGTAAGGGACAGGGCAGGGAAGCAGGGACACGAGGAGACCTGGCTGTGCTGCCCGAGGGAAGTGTCGTGGGACGGGGGTGGGGAGCGCGGGCCCAGGAGGCACTCACGATGCTCCGGAGCATCTTGTCCCCACCACTGAAGGTGACCGCCAGCATGGAGGCACACTCTTCCGCGTAGAAAGGCATCCGGCCCTCCTCGTCCACGGCACCTGGGGAAGAGAGGAGGGGGAGCGGGAGCTGAGTTATCATCTGGGAGGCTGTCCTGAGTTTCAGAAATGATCTCAGTGGCCCAAGTGCCTCAGAGTGCCCACGCTCGTCATCTGAAGAGGCAACCTCAAGCGGCAGAGGGTATTCTGTGCCCTAAGACCCTTCTTTCCATAGGTTCCGGGGTAAAACGGGGGGAGTGCCACCTCTATACGGACTCATCCGTTCACACACTCATTTTCCTCAATGCTTATTAATTATCTACTGCAGGTCACATGCTGTGAGGGGCACTGGGGCCACAAGGGAAAAGTCACAGTCTTGATCTCAAGGAGCCTGAAGTCAGGGAAGAAGTCAGGTAAGTAAATAAATACAACGGGACAGCAGATGCTATGGTGGGAAGCACAGGTACGAGGCATTTAATCCAGACTAGAGGGGGTCAGGGAAGGCTTCAAGCAGGAGGCAAGTGGCTCATGGGAAGAGAGGCTGGAGCAGAGGCCTAACCAGATGATGGGCTGAAAGCGTCCCGGAGTATGGTGTCTACTAAGGACGTCCTGAGGTCCTGTGAGAATAGGGATAGTCCCTCCTAACTATGTGAGCCTGAAGAGAAGATTGTACTTGGACAGTTAGACAGACACACAGAAGCCAGGGCGCCCCAAAACACACAACCCGCTCACCACTGAGGGATACGCACATTCCAAAACACACAACCCCCTCACCACTGAGGCACACGCCCCAAAAAATACACAATTCCCTCACCACTGACTGATACACACGCCAAAATGCACAATCTCCTCACCACGGAGTCCCACACACACTGAAATGGAGTCCCCTCCCCACCGAGCGACACACACACACACACGCACTCACACACATGCACGCATAACCACCAGGCCGCTACCTATGGTGACGGTGTAGATAGAGTTGGCATAGCCATCATAGTTGCAGTTGTCGTTGTGCTGGCCACCGTTCCCGCTGGCTACCACAAAGATGCTCCCAAAGCCCCGGCGGCCAGCAATCACCCCATGTTGCAAGGCAGCCTGAGGAGTAAAACCATGCTGGGATCAGCTGAGGAACTCCTAGGAAGACCTCTACCCTCCATACCAATTGCTTCCTCCCCTCCTAGAAAGAAATGCGAAAAAAGCCCAAAGGCACTGGGGCATGGGAGAAGGAGATTTAAAGAGGGTTACGAGAAGGGGAGGAAGACGTTAGCTGAACGACGGTCTGAAGGATATACACTGTTTGTCAGATAGGGCGGGGCCGGAAGTGGGGCGCTGAGCCCCAAATCACAGGGAAACAACTCAAAGCCCTGTTCCACTTCTCTAAGAACCAGGGTCCCCCAAGCACCCCCACCTCCAGGTTAGGAGTGTTCTCCCAAAAGGAGGTGGGAGGGCTGGGTGATGTGAGTCTGGCACCACACACGGGAGTGGGGTGGGAAAGGGGGCGACCCGTAGTAGTTCTAGGACCTGAGTAGAGAGGGTGTCCTAGGTCTATCTTCATGCACTTCACTTACCTTTCCAAGCTGATGGGGGCCATCCACTGTCTTCCCATCATCATCTGGTCCCCAGCTGTTGAGAAATACCCAGAGGGGAGAGCCAGAGCCACACCACGGCTGCCCACCCAGGTCTTAACTGACCCCCCCCCCCCCCCCCCCCCCCCCCCCCCCCCCCCCCGGCCTGGCCTCTTCATCTCCTCCCAAGTGCTCCAGGCCAGGACTGCCATGATCACAGGACACAGGGTTCAAGGATTCAGCCCTCACTCCAAGGTGGAAAACAGAAGTATGCAATAAGTCTCTTTTTTCCCTTGGAAACTTTCTCAGTTTAGGACTGCTTTAACCTGCCCCTGAAAATCCTTTCTCAGGTCCTCAGGAGCAGGACACAACACATATTAGTAGTGGGGGACGGGGGCCACCCATCTCCTGACGTAGAGCTCTAATACCAGGCTTGACGGGAGAGCACCCACAAAGGAAGTACTCAATCTGTGTGGGTTCTTGGGTCTGAGGAGTTCTCGATTCCTTCTCTAAGAGAAATGTACGCTGAGGATGATGTCATACATTTAAGGGAGGTACTGGGAGGGGGAACAGGTGCTGTCATTGCCATGAGGGCAGCCCAACTTCAGTTCCCCCTTAGGCGGGAACTCAGCCCCTGCCCCCTCCGCAACCATAACCATAACCTGAAGCTGGACGTGCATTTACGTGCGTAGGGCAGCGGGGCTGATGCCAGGCATTTGGCTCGGCTGTGGTTGGAGAGGAGGCCTCATGAGCTTATTAAACATAATGAACATGGGCCAGACTGCAGCACTCCTCATATGGCAACCGGATTCCTGGGGAGACACGGGGCTTAGGACTGAGGAAGGACCCAGTGGCCAGGGATCTGGAGAAATCTGAGTGATGGACTTCTGGGTCAAACCCAGTAAGAGGCCCCTGGCTGCGACCTGGCCGAGCTAGCCCATCTTGCTGTTCTTTTGTTGGAGGATCCGTGCCAGGTGCTGAAGCCTCGCGCCCTCACCGTGTTCCTGGCTTACCTGCAGCTGTAGATGTCGTTGATCTGATAGTGTTTGTTGAACGCCACAGCCTCCATGCTGTCTGTGAGGGGTCCATCCAGCACCCGGATACCTAGGCAGCGAAGGCCACATCAGCTCCTCAGTCTTGTTGGCCCCCTAGACGGGGAGCAGCATGGTGGGAGCCACACGTGGAGACTTACTTTTCCCTCTGAGCGCTCCTGCATCTCTGAATTTTTATACCATGTATATGGACCATGGTGGTTTTTAACATAATGCTACATCTTAGATTTTAAGGATCATGGGGTCTGGCAGGAAGAGCCTGGGCCAGAATGTAGGTAGCTAAGTTCCCTTACTTGCGTTCTTAATCATGTAAAACGGCAGTGCGATGCTTGACACATAGAAGGTGTTCAAGAAAAGGTACTCACTACCATTACTACTCCGTGGATGCCTAATTTCACCCTCTCAAATGGGGTGGGTCACATCCCGGCGACCATGTAAGGAAAATGGAGCTTTCAGAAGGGACTTGGTCCCTGAAGTTTCTGGCTCGCTCTGTCGCCTCATTTAGGGAGAGAGTTGCTGACCTCTGCTGGCGTGTAAGAGGAAAACAGTCACTCTATTCAGTGTGTAGTTTCCAAGCATTTACGAGGAGGAGTCATGGGGAGGGCTTCCCCGTGTACACCCTTTGCGTTCTGCTCTGATGGACAAAGGCTGAGAGGAGGAGCCTTAGAACGATCCCCAGTGGGGGCCAGTGCTGCTCCGCTCTCTTGAAAGGAGGGAGAGCAGACAGCGACCATCAGAAGGGATGACAGTTGGAGAGCTGGGCGATAGCAGAGGAGCCTCCACAGACATTAAGGGTCAAGGAGGAAGGGCAGGTAAAAGCGTACTTGGGAAATTATGAAGATAGAAATATAACCCAGATAAGGAAAAGGAGTTACCATTACAGTGAGTCGGGTCATTTGATGGGACATAACCACAAACAGGAAAAGGGGGCAGGCCATAGAGTGGCTGGGGCTCGAAGTCTCCATCCCACATTGAGACCACTCTCACTTTTATCTGTTGTAGATGAAAGGGTTTGTGGCTAACAGCATGTCTGAGACACCACGGCACTGACAAAACCCAATGAACTCATGTGTCCCACAGACACATATCATAAGCTTCCCTTTGCCCTACGCTATGTGTGTCAACAGTGGGACCAACGTGGTTCAGAATCTGGGGGAGGGGCGGGCAGGGGATGAAGACGGTCCCGCGGGAGAGGCCCCTGAGGCTGGAGTGGCAGGTACCTGCTATGCGGCTCCCATACGCCACTCCCACGGCACAGAAGCTGTTGTTGGGCACTGCGGCGATCTCGCCCGCACACCTCGTGCCGTGGTGATTGCCGTTCTCCACGTCTGGGTGTGGCATAGGGTCAGGGTCGTTGGAGTTGAGATCATAGCTGCCCTCGGGGCTCTGAAACATGGCAGGGGCGACATGGTCATTCACAGGCTTTCAGGGGTCAGGCCCTGGAACTCAAGGAGAGAGGAGACCTGGGGAAACTGGGACTTTGGGGCTCCGGGCCAGCACAACAAGCCTGTCTGTCTCTCTCTGCAAACCACCCAGGCTATAGGCATGAGATAGGACACGCGGGGCAAGACTGAAAGTGCCACAGGGCTCAGGGAACTTCCTTCTCATCCGTGGTGGAAATGGGTCTGGGAGACTGCTTCACGGCTTGGGAAACCCAGGTAAAAGAGATCTAGGGCTACCTGAAGACCAGGCTAGAGAGGAAGGTGCTCAGAACTCGTGTGGAGAGGGAAGTTGCCAACAGGGACCGCTCCTTACTCCCCAGGGCAGGGAGCAGCAAGCGGAACCAGGAAGTGCCACCCAGAGTCCTGTCCCTGTGTCTTAATTGCCAGACTGGAATGCCGGCTGGGGGCAAGGGGAAGCTCAGCTGTCCCATCTCCCGGGCCCTTTTGTGTGGCCCAGTGACCTGGAAGAAAGGGAACCAGACGAAGGCAACATCAAGAAGGAGGTAAGACACGGGGGTCGGAGGGGTTGTCCCAGGGCCACTCACATAGTTGGGTGCGATGTCCTGGATGGTGTGCTCCACTCCGTCATCCACGACCACCACAGTGACCCCTCGCCCGGTTACATTGCGTTCCCACACACCTGTCACGTTGATGTCCCTGCCGGGGCTCCGCCGGTTATTCTGTAGGAGACACAGGGTCAGGAGCTATTCTCAGAGCCTTGGGAGGCCAGTGACACACAGCATAGCTCACAGACAAGCAGGCTAGCAGCCCCTTTTCACGCTTGGCCACCCTCAAAGAGCCAGACAGAGGTTGTAGACCGATAGGTCTAGTGAGGATAGATGGACAAGGGAGGGCTTTGCCACAGCCTAGCTCCCTGGGAAAGCCTGGCGTCATTCACGGGTGGTAGAAGTGAAATGTGGCAAGGTTAAGGGTTGGACGATACAATTATTATGCCATACAATATGTATTTTCCTGGGCGCCTGCACAACTCAGTCGCTTCGGCGTCCGACTCTTGATGCCAGCTCAGGTCACGATCTCACTGTCCGCGAGTTTGGGCCCCATGTCGGGCTCTGCGCTGACAGCGCTTGGGATTCTCTCTCTCCCTCTCTCTCTCTGTCCCTCCCCCGCTCACACTCTCTCTAAATAATTAAACTTAAAAAATATATATACATATATATACCATTTTATTAACATTACATAACATGCTACGAAGTACTTGTCATGTGTCTGACACACATATATTAATTCACTTATCCTAACCATAACTCCACAAGGTAGGTACTGTTAGAGTGTCCACTTTACAGAGGGGGAAACTGAGGCAGAGAGCGGTTTAAGCAGCTTGCTCAAAGGCGTGTGTAGGTGAGTGGCGGAGCTGGATTAGACTCCAGGCAGCCTGGTCCCAGAACCCACACCCTCACCTCTGCAGCCCACTGGCTCCCCAGAAGTGAGTGCAGGGAAGGCGAAGCCCACAGCTGTGTCTCCTCAGGCAAAGGATGGGGGGCAACCGAAGAGTAACACAGTCAAAAGCCCACTAACGAACGGAACACCCAGAACATATCCACCGGAAAGCCGAAAACGGCAGGGCTGGACTCACCAGGTGCCACTGCTGTGGGTACTTGGGGTCATTGAAGTGGACACTGCGCTTGGCCCGCTTGAGCAGCCTCTGCTCCGAGTGCCAGCGCACAGCTTCGTGCCCGGATAACACGGTTTCCGCCTGCTGCCGGGCGGCCTCCGCCTGCTGCTGCCCAGCTGGCTGGACGAAGAGGTAGTAGCCGCGGAGCTCCCCGACGCGCCCAGCATTCAGCAGTCCCGCCGCCTGGGCCAAGGCGTCTGCCTGCTGCTCCAGGGTCTCTTCCTCCCCTCCCAGGCTGTCCAGATGCACGGCCCAGCTTAGCCCCCCCAGACCCTGGGCTCTAGGCCCATCGGCCCCTGCCAGGCCCATGACCCAGGGAACCAGGAAGAAGAGCCCGGCTAACTCCAGCCAGAGGCAGATGGGCAGGCCCGGGGGGGCATCCAAGTGTGGCACTTTCTGCCTCCCCTTCGGCATCAGAGCAGAAGGCTGCAAACAAACAGAAAGGACATCAGAGACACCTGCAGGAATCTGCAGGCAGGCCAAGCCATCAATGTATTACACCTAGAAATCCCCAATCCACTCCTTTTTTAAATACTTGATCCTCTTGTTTTATTCACACTTATTCCTGAGCAACAGGGATAAGCCCTGGGGGGGGGGGGGTGGGCCAGTGCCAACCCCAGGGGATACCTCCACGGCATGATGGGCCAATCGCCATCTCACCAGATAATCAAATCGAATGTCCAATTGCTAACGGGCAACGCACTGCTCTTTGCCCCTGTTGCTGTGAAAAGGGCTTAGAAGTCATATCGTTCCCATAGGTTACTGGCAGGATCATGACTGCTCTTAGAAGAGACCTTCCTCCCTTTAGAGGGGACATAAATCTTCCCCCAGCTGACATCTCATCCGGTTGTCCTCAGGGCCGACTCCCCACAATGGTGCCCCAATCCTACCTGGACTCTATGTGAGGGTGAGCTCCTGGTCTGGCTGACCACCTCACACTCATTTTGTGCAAATGGAGAAAAGGCATCACTTTCACTGAGTGGTGCTGGCTCTGAGCACAGACTGCAGACCTGTGGGCCCCAAGAAAAGAAGAAACGGTGTCCTCCCAAACCCAGGGGAGCAAGCAGAGGCTAGCCATGAACTCCAGGACCTGTGACCAAGGGAACTGGCCAATGATCGAGTATCATTTTCAGGGATCTCAAGTTGGCTGCAGACTGGCAAAGAACTGGCCAAGTCAGTACAGAACCCAGAAACCCTACTTCTTGTCCTAACCATCATGCCACCCTCTTTTCTTTGGCCCCCAGAGGCCTAGAAGAGGGCTTGAACTATTGCCAAAACACCCTCATCGAGAAGCAGGGAGTACTGCTTCCTAGTAGTCTAGGTGGTGGCTAACTTCCTGATTTCTGTATCTCTGACAGAGGCCAGGGGAAGTAAGAGTAGGCAGGAAGCAGTGGAGATGGGGAAAACTGGACAGTGTGAGCGAAAAAAGCAAGTGGGCAACCGGGCAACCGGGCAGGAAGAAATGATTGGAAAGTAGCACTAAGGGGCTATACCCTTACGGACTAGCTCGGCAGGTTGGCTTGGAAGTGAGGGCTGAACACCAAACCCGGGGCTGGCACCCATGGTTTGATTTCAGAAGGGCCGAATTTAGAACTGGTGGGCAACTGTGGGGACAGGCACAGGTGGGTGGGCAGCAGAACATGTGCATGCCCACGGGTGACTGGGCTCCTTCAGAATCATCTGCTCTGTACTCGTGTCACCCCGAGGCAGGGCTTAGTACCCACACACATACCCAAATGGATCCAACTCAAAACATTACAGGAAAATAGGTATTTTACTGAAGTCTCTTTGGAAAGGAAGAAGGGAACTTAACGCCACCGAACTTTTCCCTCCAAAAACCTGCATTCCACATTCCATTCCTCCTAGCCCTGCGGCAGCCTCCACTGTCCCAACATAATCAGATGCCTTTCCTACACATGACTAAGTAAAACAAAGTCTTGCCAGATAGCCAGATTATGCCCCACTTAGGTAGGCCCCTTCAGTCTCCTAGATCCCATTGATTTCCGGAAGAGAAGAGAAACCTGGCCACCACTTCCTCCTTCTTTCTGGCAGAGCAGTACCATCTCCTACTTCCACCCCAGGTTTCTGGGAAAGGAACCTTAAATACCCCCCTGAAAGCAGAGCACAACCTCACCCAACTGCTTTGTGCATCTTTACAGCTCTTGGGTGCCAAGGGTGAAAAGAAAGAACACGGGCAGCCCAGAGTCCAGGAAAGAGTCTGTCCCAAGAGGCTGTCCTCCTCCTCGTGCCTCTACACCCGCTTCCTAGAAATCAGGCTGCGTCTACGGTCAGTTTCACTGACTTCCCTCTGCCCCGTGCAATGTGTCCCCCTCCTCAGAGGGACCCGTACTACCCTGGAATCGGGACCCTACCGCCCCGTCTCCCGGCGCTGTCCCAAGCAGGGACTGAGGACGCCCTCGGTGCAGCCCCCTCGTCCTCGGACGCGGGCGGCGCCCTCCCAGCTCTGGGCCGCCCGGACTTGCCAGGCCCCGCCCCCACCGAGTGCCCAACTCACCGGCTCGGCCGCAGCTGCTGCCGCCGCCCGCCTGCGGAAACTCGCGGCTTCCCGGGAGCCCGGGGAGCCAGTGACAGTAGCATCACTTCCGCCCGGCGGTGCAGCCAATCAGCGGCGAGGCCCCGGCCCGGCCGAGCGGCCCGGAGCAACCGGCGCTAGGGGGCCGGCCGCTCCGGGCATCCTCCGCCAGGAGAGGAGCGTGTGGGCGCGGTGGGCTCAGCTCGCCTGGCCCCACCGCCCCGAGCTGTCGGGGCGTCCTCCACAGGGGCACTGCCCGGAGGGACCGTCTTGCCCTTCATGGCGTCCTCTGGAAAGGGAATCTCGGTTTTGACCTTTACAAACACCTCGTTCCTCTTCTCTCTCTGATCGCCATGGCCCCGACTCTCTCTGGGACCTTTCCAGAGGGGCTCTTCCCTCCGCTGGGTCTCCTTCCTTCTCGCGGTCGCCTCACTCTTCCTCCCCGCGCCCCGGGAGAGTCCACTTGTACCTTAGGGGGCTTCCGCGGAGTCCGCGGCGCTCGCACGGCGCCAGCGCTGGCCGCTAGGGGGCGCCGTCGGGGGCGGCGCGGTGCCGCCGCAGCCGC